TATTCTCTACATGTCCCTCGAGCTTTAAAATTAATTTCTATATCCACTTCAATTCTTGTTAATTACTTCACACTGTGTGGAGTTCACGTGTGCGTTTGACACACGATGCTGCAAATACAAAACATTAGAATGTTCTAATTAGTAAATAAAGCCTGAAATTTATCGTAACGCGATCCCCTCGAGTTATGTGTACGACAGCTTTTATTCAAAATATGAACACGGAGTTCTTGTCCTTTCTCCAACTCGCATTAATTTCGTTAAATAAAAAATTATTTTTTCCCCTATTTTTTTCGGGGGGGAATTCTCCTTTACATTCATAATTTTTTTTTTCAATTTATTACTTTTTTTCTAAATATTTATTACCTTTTATTTATATTATTATTATTATTTATTGCACTGCGCCCGTAAACTACAAATAAATAAAATAAATTATTAATTTTATTGTTTTTGGTATTTTTATTAATATTCTTTTTTTATTACTATTATTAGTATTTTTATTATTTATATTATTATTATTTATTTATTTATTCACATATATACGGACAGTGCCCTTTCGTATTATCATTATTATATAATAATAAAATCTGTCCTAACTTGAAATTGGCCTTTTCTGATTTCACGTGTTTTTTTTTAATAGTAATCTTATGACGCGTCAAATTTTGACAATTCTTTTTCTCATTTTTGCCAAAGTTGTATAATTGTGTTTCCAAATTTCGGAATAAGTTTCTTTAAAATTCCAAATTCGAAAATTCAATTCACGAAGCTGAAGTACACAACGTTTACCAACGAAATTTTTTTTAAAGTTGTATATTGATTCAAAAATTGTATACAAATACAAGAAATTTATAATGAGAAAAAAGATGCGCCAGGAAATTTCGTACAAGATAGTAATTTGAAAAAAATTTATTTTTGAAAATTAATTTTGAAGGTACCAGGGGCCAACGAATACCTATTAAATATTAATTATAAAAACACAGGCCTCGAATCAACTTAAAGACACAAAAAAGTCGTTTTAGTCGATTTATATTAAAAAAAAGTGGATTTGTTTTTTATTTTAACAAAAATATTTTACAGATTTTTAAATAAAAATTTTTTTTTTAATAATAATCCCTTTCGAAGGGTTAAAGTTGAAATTTTTAGAAATAATTAAATTTCAAAAGATATTGTTAATTTTCAAACAATTATTAAATTTTACAGAACTAAAAATAATTTATCAAACAATTTTTGGAAAACATTTTTTAAATTTAATTGAATTTTCAAAGATTTAAAATTGAGATTTTTGAAATTAATTGAAACTTTAAGTGTGTTGTAATTAAAATTTTAGATGATTTCACTAAAAATTTATTAGAAAATGCGAACAAAATACAATAATTTGAAAATCATTTTTAATTGAAAAATGGTTTCAGGTAGTTGAAATTTCAAAGAATATTATTAAAATAGTTAAAAATAATTGAATTTTCTTAGAGTTATAATTGAAATTATTAAATTTCAAAAAAAAAAAATTTTCGATGGACAATTTTAGAAATAATTAAATTTTAGATGCTTTTAAATTCAAATTATTGAAAATTCAATTAATTTTGAATTCAAATTTTTGAGAATAATGAAATTTTATTTGATTATAAATTTGGAAAATAATTGAATTTCAGTTCATTTTGAATTGAAAATTTTGGGAAATAATTGAATTTTAATGGAAATTTTGGATAATAATTTAATTGAAGTTCATTTTTGATTCAAAATTTGGATAATTAATTTTGAATAGAAATTTTAGAAAATAAGGGGCCGTCCATATACCACGTGGACACTTTAGGGGGGGAGGGGGGGTTTAAAAAAGTTTGAAAATGTCCACGATTCAATGCATTTATGTGTCCACAATGGGGGGCGGGGGGTCAAAAATCTGTAAAAAAATTGTCCACGTGGTATATGGACGGCCCCTAATTGAATTTTATTTCATTTTAAACTGAAAACTTGGTAAATAATTAAATTTTAAATTGAAAATTTATGATAATTATTGAATTTTAATTGATTTTGAATTAAAATTTCTTGTAATAATTGAATTTTAGTTTATTTTGAATTGAAATTTTTAAAAAATAATTCAATTTTATTGCGATATTTTTTTTTTAATTATAAACAATTGTTAAATTTTATAAAAATTTTAATTGAAAAATAATTTTGATATAATTGAATTTGTGATGTATTTCATTAAAATTGTTAAAAATAATTAATTTAGTGAAGAATCATTTTAGTTAAAAATTTGTTAAATAATTAAATTGAAGAAGATCTGAAGAAGATCTACATTTTATACTAAAAAAATGTATTTTATTTACATTTTGTTTCAAATGTAAAAAAAAATGTCGCATTTTATTAAAATAAGTCGATAAAAGTCGTATTTTTGAAAAAAGTCGTATAATCCGAGGCCTGTAAACATATAATTTTCATTATTATCATTTAATATGTAATAATATTCTAATAAATTAAATTATTATTGATAATATTAATCTTTAATTTCTTTATAACAAACAATTAAATACTCAATTTGGCGCGCTTGAGCGCGTTTAATTTTGCTAGTTATTAATTATAATATTTAATTTATTAATAAAAATAATAAATAAAAAAATTATTTTCGTTAGAAAAAAACAAAATTTTCCTGTAACACGTTATACTTCCGAACTCCGGTTTTTTATGAGTATGAAAAGCAGGACAAATCGGAACATTAATTTTAATAAATCGTGGAAAATGTTTCTGGAGATGAAACTGATAAATATTCTGATCACGATTTATTAAATTGGATGGGCTTTGCCAAGTCCTTCTAACATGAAGTTAATCAGACCTCAATATCTAGTTTGGTCCTGCTTCTTCTTTTTTTTTCTTTAATAAAATCTATTGACTCGACACTTTTTTTTTTTTTGCTCCACGGAGGCAACTAGTACCGTGTAATAACGACGAGATTTTATTTCAAAACCGAAGGAGAAAACATTTAATCCTAATTTATTAGATTTTTATTCAAATTTTTCCTTTACTTATTTTTAAATCTAATTTGTCAATTTAATTACACTCTTAACTTATTTCATTTTTCTTTCTATAAACTTGTAAGCTTGTTTCTTTTATAAAATTGTAAATTTTCTAATGTAATTAAATTTCAAATTTGATTTTTTTTAATATTCCTCTATTAAAACTCGAATATAAAAAAATAATTGTCCTCTATTATATATAATTTTAACTAATTCATAAAAATTACCTTTATTATATTTTTATGATAGGAAAAAAAATTCCGAAAAAATTTTATAATTAAAATCGTATCTAATCATTTCTATATAATTGGACCAATTATATATTCTATTGTATATGGCAATTCTGAAAAAAGAAGCTCGTACGAGAACAATTAAAAAAAAGATAAAATAATGGAATTAATATTGTTAATGGGGAAAAAAAAACTTTTTTTCATAATCGAAATGTCACTTCTTCATTGAAATGTTTGAAATAAAAATGTGTCCCTGTCGAATAATATTTATGAAGGAAGATGAGATCGATTCAACGATTTTCATCGAAGCGAAACCCTTAGAATGAAAATATGAAAAGCAGAGAAAAAAAAGAGAGAGAGAGAGAGAATCAAACATAACAGATGTCAGTGACAAATTTTTGTGTGAAACGCGCGGTTTTTCCACTCTCATGAATTTGATGTACTTTATTTTTCAAGTTTTTTTGGAAATGATCGAGTATTTATTTATTTATTTTTTTTTTTGCTCTATGACATATATCACTTTACAGTTTTATATATATATATAATCTCTATCGTTCTAGAGAAAGAACTTTTGACTATTAGCCGCAGTGATAAAAACTTTTTTTTTATCAAGTTTCAAACAGACAGAAATGCATCTGACAGTTCAAAGTTCGAATTTCCACGAGAATTCACTTGTATTCAGTAAAGTGAAAAGTCCTGAAAATTAACACAACTTTTCCTACTCTGTATATGTGTATATATATCTAATCGAAAAGTTTCCCCTCCCCCCCCCCCCTCTTCTAAATTACTATCTAGTAACAAGCTAGATAATTAGTATACTGGCTAATTTTGTAAAATAGGAAAAAAAAAAATTTTTTGTTTCACTTTGAAATTAATTAGATTTTACGTGAAAAAAAAAAATGCCGTAGGTAAAATCATAACTAGACAAGAAATATAAAATTAAGAACGTGGATAAAATTTTTAAACAAACACTTCAAAAAATGCGAATTAAAAACCTTTTTCATTCTATGGTTTTTAACTCCGAAAAAAACATTAATTCAAGTAAATTAAAAACAAATTTTATAAAAATTATGTTAAAACTGAGTAAAAATGTTAAAAACGAATTATAGAATTAAATTAAAAGAAAAATAGGTTAAAAATTAATTTAAAAAAAATGAAACAAAGTACATAGAAATAAATTAAATAAATAAAACTGATAAATTATAAATAAAAATTAACAAAATAAAAATAAATAAAAATTAAATAAATAAAAAATAATAAACAAATAATAAATAAAATTAAATAAAAATAAATAATAACAAAAATAATTAATAAAATTAAATAAAATTAAATAAAAATAAATAGCAACTCTGATGGGATAAAAAATTAATAAAATATTACGCGAAAAAAAACAGTAAAAAAATTAATAACAACCAGGATAGCAAAATAAAAAATTCCTTTTCTACCGAAAAAAAGAACAAATTCGCTAAAAATTGAAAAAAAAGAATTTCTTTTTTCATTCCACTATTTTGCAACGTGTTGGTTTACTCGGAGAAACGTAATTCAATTCTAATCGTTTCCCGATAAAAGATCAAACGTTGCAGTTGTATAATAATTAAAAACCATGAATAATGGTCCGAGCATGTCCAGCAAAAAAAAAAAGAACCACAAAAACGATCAAAAAAAAGCAGCACAAAAAAATAAAAGTAGAACGAGAACAAAAAAATTATTTTTTTTTTTGTAAATCGAAATAATTTGCTAATTAGTAATTAATTAATCCTACCTTGACTTTCCGACATTTCCTGGCAGCAATGGATCTTGACTGTCTTCTGATTGCCTCCAGAGGAAACGACAATCTTCTTTAGTTTTCGGAGGTTGCACCTCCACTTATATCCACCAGACACTTGCAGTAGCACCCCCGAGATAAATATCTTGACTCACCTACACACCAATAAATCACAGTTTATTTATTTATTTTTTTTTAATTTCCAAAATTTTACGAATTAATTAAATATTATTTAATCCTTTTTTTTTATTTTTCAATTAAAAAATTTTTCGTGAATTAATTTTTTTTGTGAGGAGAATAAAATTTGTTTTAAAATGTCAAAAAAAAAATTTTCGATGGGGATAATTAAAATTAATTAATTTTTGAATATTGAAAAATTTGAATGTATGTGGTGAAAAACGTGCATTCAGAAAAACGAAAAACTGCATTAAAAGGAGCAAAGACGAAACGCACGCGGCGCAGTCTGGGCGGTAACTGAGCTTTTTGAAGACGTCGCGACGCTCAGCATCGCTTCCACCCCCCCACCTGATTTGCTCTCACATTCGAGCTCTTTCAATGTGGATTTATAAGATTTTCATTGTTTCTTTTCAAATTCTCTCAAATTGAATAACAACATCAAATTGTTAATTTTTTATTTACTATTTTACTATTCTACTATTTTTCTATTTTTACAATTTTTTTTTAAATAACATTTTTTTTTATTAAAAATTACAAAAAATTTTATCATTAAATGCAATTTAATAATTTAATTTTGAAAAAAATCCAAAGCCAAAAGAAATATTTATAGAGAAAAGCGGGATTAAATTTACAACTTTTATTTAAATTTTCAAGACAAATGAAGTGCTTCGAGTGTAGTTTTAATTGCATTATTCGATTCACGTTGAATAAATGAGATAAAAAATAAAATTATATTTTCAACTTTTTTTCTTGAACTTCAAGAGTAATTAATTTTTTTTTTTTTTTTGCAGAGTAGATTTTATAAAAAGCTTTTTATATATATCATATGGAAATATTAAAGTCCCTTTTATTATACATACATATACGCGATGGGTTATGGATCCTATTTCTGCCCACTATGTGAATACCTTTATTTTATGCGTTTATTTTTAATTATCCAGTAAAGTAGAGAAAAATATATTTTTTTAAATTTCTAATTATTATATTAATATTATTTGTTTGTATTATTATATAATAATTTAATTTATTAGAATATTATTACTTGTATTATTATATATAAAAATAGATTATATTTAATTTTGTTTCTATAACACACCCGGAGAAAAAATATATATTTGTCTCAGAGCCAAATAAATATTTATTTGTTGCAAATAATTATTTATTTGTTGCAAATAAATTTTATTTGATTTAAATACAAATTTTATTTATGGCAAATAAAATTTTTATTTACGTCAAATAAATAAACTATAGTAGGCTCTGAGACAAATATACATTCAATTAATTCAAATATATTATATTTGGTTTGAATAAATAATTTCTTTGGGTGCACAATTGATTAAAATTTACTGGAATTCGTTCAGAATTTTAATAACTGTCATCTACGGGAAAGTGGTGAAAAAAAATATGAATAATTTTGTTCAATTTTAATTACTTATCAAATTACACATGTGTCATGTTCATGGCAATAATTAATATCTTCGCAAATAGTAGTTATATTACCACAGTTTCCTAGAATCTCATATCAAGGTAATTTAATCCCATAGTTTAATAATTAGAACCAACAATCAACACTTAAAAAATATAATAAGTACACAAACCTTTTTTTTAATAAATAAAATAAATAAAATGAAAAATATAAATTAAATGAATAAAATAAATTAAATTAATTAAATAAATAAATATATAATTTGCAATTTAATTATTTTCTGTTTAACAATATTATTATTGTAAATAATTCAGAAATTAATTAAGTACACATTTTATACAATAAGGGTTTATATTATTCATGCGAATTTCTGTATTGTAAACATTAATGAAACCACATCAAATAATGCTCCAGAAACTTGGAATCAATTATATATATATATATTTTCTTGTAAGTTTCAGCTGTTTGATGATGGTTTATTATAAAGATTTTCAACATCGCGCCTTCCATTTAAAATTTCTTATAACGCGCCTCAAGCAAAATTTCCCTGAGTAATGAAATAAGTTTTCCTATTTTCAAAAGTGATGCAATAAGAAAGTAGCAAAAGCATTCTTCTAGAAAATCGAGGAATGATTTTAATATTAGTTTAAAAATTGTATCTTTAGAATTTTTCTTTTTCAAAATAACTTTTTATTTCTTTACAAAAAAATAAGTTTCAAACATTTTTTTTTTTTTAATATTAACAATAATTTCAAATAAACTATTATTATAATATTCGTAATATTATTTTTTATTCAGAAAATTATTTTTATATAATTATATATGCATTTTTTAAACAGTTAAAAAAAATTATTCAGAAAAGTAATTACTATAATTAATTAATTAATTAATTAGTTGATTAATTAATTGACCAATTACTTCATTTTTATTAATTGACATAATAAATATTAAAAATATCAAATTTTTATGAATTATTTTTCATATTTATTCATTTATTTATTATTAATTAATTAATCAGCAATTAACAATTAATTAAATATTAATTAATTATTAGTCTATTTATCCTACTTTTATCGATTTTTAATTATTTATATTTATTTCATTGAATGGACATATATGAAATTTAATATTTAACTCATTTAATACTGATTTATTTTATTTTATACATTTTCCAAGTAATAATTATATTTATATAACCTCATTTTACTTATATTTTCGTTTAAAATAATATATTATTGATTAATTATTAATTATTAATTATTAATGAAAAATCAATAAGAAAATCAATTATTTCCATTTAATTTACTTTTAATATTTTGAATTTCGCGCCCTGAATTTGCAAAAAAGCACGGACGTTACGATTTTTACAAATTCATTGAAGTGAATTCTTGGAAATTATGTAGGTTAGAAAATTTTTACAAATCCATTCAACTTATTCCTGGAATTCAGCAAGTGTCATTAATAAGTGACTCATTGATCAATCAATATGCTAAGTATTTGAGTTAAATTGAGCCTTATAAATGAAAGTTTCACTACTTTACTTATTTAATAAACATTTCTGGTTTATTTTTTAATAATATTTTCTATTATAATTGACATTTATATACAAAAATTAATTAAAATAAAGAAAATTAAAAATAATGTAATGCATACGATACAAACGACGCGTGTGCTGCCATCTAGTCTCGAATTTCTCCACTACATTCAAAAACAATGCTCATATCTGTCATTGTGTTATCAAGTGAAGTTAAAATATGTTAAAAAAATAATTTTCTTTTAGTTTAATGTTAATAAAAATAAAAATTTTGATAAAATCATATAATTTGAGAACTATTTTCTTATTTCGAACATATGCAATGAATAGATTTACATCTGAAACAGGTAATTTTATCATCAAATACACTGGTTATCGATTTTGAGGTTATGTATGTGAAAAAATACTAACAAAAGTTTTGTTACAGTTAAGAAAACATTATGTCCATATCAGGAAAAATGCTATCGAAAAAATCCTATCCATTTCAATGAAATGTCACATCCTCATCGTAAGTATATTTTGAAATTAAATAATTTTTCTACTAACCTCAATTACTCTCATTAAAGATTTTTCTAAGTATTTTTCAAATATAATTAATAAAAGGGAATAAAATTTATTTCTAATTGACAATAAACACGTTTTCAGTGGAAAAACTGATAATAAATAATCTCGATGACGTTATAACTATTCCTGCTCATTTGGATTTTGAATGTCCCGATAGATCTCAATTGCTGGACCAATTGAAAGTTTTACAAATTGTGTTAAAAAAGGAAAGAGATCGAAATGGAGGGACAAGTCAATCATTAAAACCTCAAGAAAGTATAAACCCTAAAAATTCACCAAAAAATTCCAATTCCAAAGGCAAGGAAACAATTTCCGATGAACTAAAACAAAAAATAGAGAGAAACAAACAAGCAGCTTTACTAAGAAGGGAAAAAAAATTAAAAGAACTTGACGAAAAAGCCGAATTACTAGCGAGTTATGAGTCTGGTTCTTTTAAAAATATTGAAAAATCTCCAAAACAAAATCTAAAACGAAATGGCTCCGAGAATAATGACAAGACGACCATTCAAAAGAAATCGAAAACAATAGAAATTTACGATTCAAATTTTTCATCACAATCAAGTTCCAGTTCAAATACAAATTCTTATTCCTCTGATTCGTCAGCAACTACCGGTACATCAATTGTAGAGAATTTTATTGGCTGTAAAACAACAGCAGCTCGTGAAAATATTCGAAAACAAGCATTAGAAAAAATGCGAAGAGCCGGATTAAAGGCAAATGTTGTTGAACCTGGTGAATTTGCTTTAAAATATGCTCTCTCTGCTCCTTATCATTTATTTTTCACTCGAGTCGAAGAAATAAAAGAGACTTTTAATCAACCTTTAACTATCACATTACCCGAAATTCTCGATATTAGCCTCGGTGAAATTGTCGAGAGTTTACATTTTAATTTTATGATTGATATGGGTTGGTTGTGTCTTCAATATCTTTTGGCAGCACAATCAGCTAAAATGCTTGTACTTTATGAAAGTCGAGTCGATTCTGATCCATTGCCAGCTAATATTACCGCTATTGAAATACCAAAACCCTCTGCATTTGGTTGTCATCATACAAAAGTATCGCTTTTAAAATACAAGGACAATGGAATAAGAATAATTGTCTCGACAGCTAATCTCTATTCCGACGATTGGGAAAATAGAACTCAAGGGTAAGGAGAAGAAAATTAATTTTTAAAATGTAAATTTTATTTTCATTGAAATTATTTTTTTTTCAGTGTATGGATATCGCCTCATCTTCCACAACTTCCAGAATCGTCAAATTCAAATGACGGTGAATCGCCAACTGGTTTCAAAAAGGATTTCGAACGTTATCTATTGACCTATAAACAAGCAACTTTAACAGAATGGATTTACGCGATACGACATGCAGATTGCTCGGCAATAAATGTATTTTTCTTGGCATCTGTACCGGGAAGTCACAAAGGACATGACCTCAATAATTGGGGACACAAAAAACTTGCATCAATTCTTTCTCAACATGCGACATTACCTGCCGATTCACCATATTGGCCTATTGTTGCCCAATGTTCGAGTATTGGAAGTTTTGGTCCAAATTTTGAAAATTGGCTACAAAAAGACATTGTCACATCAATGTCAAAAGAAAAGAATGCAGGATTAAAAAGTATTACAAATTTTCAATTTGTTTATCCGTCAATTAATAATTTTAAAAATAGTATCGATTGTCGAGCGGCTGCATGCTGTTTACCATATAGTATGAAAACACACTCGAAACAAGAGTGGATCGAGAGTTACATGTAGTGAGTAGAAATTTTTACACAAAAAGGAGAAATAATTTTTCAAAAATTTAAAAAAAAATTTATTTTGATAATTAATTGTTAATTTGCAGTCAATGGAAAGCGAGTAAAATTAATAGAGACAGAGCAATGCCACATATTAAATCGTATACGAGAATTTCGCGAGATTTCAAAAAAATCCCTTGGTTTGTTTTGACTAGCGCAAATTTGAGTAAAGCTGCTTGGGGAACATTTAGACAGTCAAATTATATTATGAATTATGAGGCTGGCATTGTTTTCATTCCAAAATTAATAGTAAGTATTTTTTAATACAATATTAATTTCTTATAAGTATTTATTTAAAACTGTTTTTACAGACAAAAGAAACAACATTTCCAATTGAAAAACAAGAATCTTCAGATATTCCAGTTTTTCCAATGCCATATGATTTACCATTAACCCGTTATGGTCCACAGGACAAAGCATTTGTGATCGAATTTTTTGATAGTGCTTAAAAAAAAATTATACTAATTAAGGTAATACTAATATTTTCTGATATTATTTTCTACGCAAAACAAAATTGATCAATTATTTAAATTCTACAAATTAAATTATGTTTAAAATTTTACAAAGTAAATTGCACACATGTACAGTATAAAATACTTATTTTTTAATAAAATATTTTTTTTTAAAGAAAATTCTAAATTCTCTTATTTTTAATAAAATATTTTTTTAAAAAAAAAGAAAATTCTAAATTTAAATATTTAAAAAAATAATCGTAATTATAATTAATATTAATTAAATAATAAGAACATTAAGGTGATAAATTTTTAATTAAAAAAAAAATGGTTTATTGCATTGGTTCTTGAAATTCTTTGGGTGTTTTGAATTTTGTTTTTTATTTTTCTTATTTGATGTCAGTTGCAAGAGTGATTATTGCATAGAGATCGTGCTTTCCATAAAACATCAGCATAGGAAAGTGTTTTCTGATTAAGCGACTTCTTTAGTGGCGTATCGGTTTTTGTACATGCATTGCCTTTAAATTGCACATAACGAAACAAATGCTCTTCCCTGTGTGCAGTAATTACACGTAAGGCGAGTGCGTATGACAATACAAATAGTTAATCAATCTTTTCATGGGCTTTCAAATTAACCTTGGAATTTCTTCTTTCGTTTTATAATTAAAAAAAAAAATTCCATCAAGAAAATCAATATTCAAAAAAAGTGATCAAATAAATTACTAAAAATTGACTATTAATAATAGTCAAAATAATAATTAATTCAATAAATAAGAACGAAATAAATACTAAATAAATAATTTATTAATTATATTAATTATTAGAAATAATTAATAAAAAAATTATTAATATTAATAAATAATTTATTGATATTATTTAATAATTAAATTTTTTCTTTCCAAAATATGGAAACTCGATATTTAAAATGAATCTATAAAAAGAAAATTGCAATTATTTTTTTAACTGACAATTTACGATTTTGACCTCATGTGAGCCAAAATAAATATTTTACGTGATACTATAATTCTTTTCATACATGCACTTCATATGAAAATAATATACTTTTAAATTACTTTTTTTCATTTAAAAAAAAATTTAATAGATTGTTGAATTTGTAATTTTAATTATTTGTTGATATACTATGACAGATAACAAATTATCCTTTTTTTTCTACAATAACAATTTATTTTGTTGACACACAACAATTATACGATTATTTTTAACATAAAAACTCATGAACTAATTTTTCATTTTTATCATTTTAAATTATTACAGAGATATATTATGTAAAATAAAAACAAAAAACTATTTTTTAGAATTAAAAAATATTATTTTTTGTTTTAAAATAATTTCCAGTACTTTTCCATAAATGAAAATATTTAAATTATGAAAGTGCGCTAAAGTTATAATTACAACTATCGCAACTCGTCGTGATGTTAATCACTTACTGATTTCGGGTAATTTCTCTTGAGGTCTACATTTTATGTAACAGTTGTTATTGCAATTTTCGTGAATAACACAAACATTTCATTTTGCTTTTTATTAAAAATAATATATTATGTAAAAGATTCTCAATTATTATTTATTTTATTTTTATTATATTTATTAAATGAATTTTTAAATTTAATATTTATTTATTAATTAATATTACTTTTTTTTATTAACTTGTAATTAATTTATTCAAAATTTGTTTATCTGGCAAGTTTTTTTTTCCTCTCGATAGATATTTTCACTATTGCAATTATTGACAATAAACAATTTATGTGTTTTCAAATTTTATAAAAATATCGATAACAATAAAAAAAAAAGTTATACCAACAGGTTAATATGAAAGTTGAAAACATTATTGGTAACTGTTATATAATCATTGACATTAATTAATTTAAAAATAAAAAAAAAAACAAGAACTGGGTTTAAATCACATTGCAACGTTATTTAATAAATGGTCAAGACCATTCAATAAATAATCAGTGCAATAACTTGATACATATTTAAATCGATTTATTTCCTCAACTATGAAATATTTTTTATTGTCATTCTTAGTCTTAATTAAAATGATATTTATATAGAATTACCTATATATGAAACTTTCCTTTAACAGAATTAAAAAAATTTTTTTTTTAATTTACAAAAAATCAAATTTTTGCACAATTATATTTTTAGTGTGAAAATTTCCTCAACGATCTCGTTTAACGAGTTTGATCTTTAATTTATTCTGGAATTTTCATTCTTAAACGGGTTATAGGGGTTTTCCCTCTAGGATTACCTTTGAGATATTCTCATATAAAATTATTATTATTATTATTATTATTATAATTTGATCGGGAAAATCCTCAGGATATTCTATAGGGGATTCACAAGAGAAATATTCATTTCGAACGGATCTATGAAAAAAGAAAGTATTCATGAGAATTGTAAAAAAAAATTGAGAATTTAAAAAGAGAATTTTTGGTACAATATTTAACTCCACGAGTTGTGAATTAATATAATTTCAAAAAAAAGTGGAATTTTGGGAATTACAAAATTTTGAAAATAGCAAAACAAGTTCCAAGAAGAAAAATCTCAATTTTAGAGAATATTAAAAGAGGATGAAAAATTCACTCCAAAAAGAGTTAAATTTCCATTTGGAAAAATTAATTATCAATGTAAGAAAAATTGAAGTTTATTATAAAGGTACAATAGAAATCCTATATTTTTAGAGTAAATTTCACTTCTTTGGAGTAAAACATATGTTACTCCAAAGAAGTAAATTTCACTCCCAAAAAGTGTGAATTTTTTTTTTTTTGTTTGAAAATCATATTTTTTTGGATTAATTTATGGAAATTTTTTTTATGTCCCACCCGGAAGTGTCTCAAGTGTCCGGATGTCCTCCGCGCAGATGCGAACTCCCTTCTAGTGGAAACAAAGCTTATACGAACGTCTGGCTTTTGCACGCCGGTAAAACGTCGATCAGTCCGTGAAATGTCGTTTATAAGACAAGGTGTTTTGTGACAGTGGTCAGGTGTATCGGACTCGCCCCCTCAAATCGACTATCAATTTTTGTCAGTTAAATCATTTACACGAAAAAAAGGAGATATTATAATAAAAATTAACTAAAAAATTAATTTTCAATTGAAAAAAAATAATTTAAAATAAATAAAATTAGCTTTTTAGCTAATAATTTCGCGTAGTGAATGAATAAACATGTTCTGATTAATTGATAACAATTTCCTCATGATTAATTCATTATAGAATTTTTGAATAATAAATTCGATAAGAATTATCCTGACAAATTGATAGTAAATTTTTTCTTGATAAGAGAAATTTTTGTCAAGACAAATGAATTGTCAAACATAAAATATAATAAAAAATATTCTAAATATTGTAATTTGAATTGACAAAAAAAAAAAAAAAAAAATTTGTTCGATTTTTCGAATCAAGAGATTAGAAATAAATCATCTCTTTTATAAATAAAAAAAAAGTGGACCAAAATTGAGATCTATTGATGGAAAAAAAAATTATTTCCGAGATTTTCAGTGTTGCCAAGTCGATAAGTTAATATTTACACCAATTTAACATTAACCACCTCCACCCAGTGTCTCACGTATATGGACGACATGTTACAACAAAATTTCATTTTGGCTTTCACCGCAAATGAAATCAATGGAAAATTAAAATTCCACTCATACGTATTCCAGTGATATTGGTTAAGCCAAAACAAAACAGTCTTTTCTCGTAAGGATATATTATAATTGTGACGTATTTTTACAAAAAAAAAAAAAATTCATCCCCCATATGCACAATTCAGAAATTTACTTTTTTTCCTTAAAAATTCTAGTCAAAATATTTATGAACAAAAATTGAGAAAAAGGCAAATAAAAAATATAATTAAATAAATGATAATTTTACTGGAGCAACAAAATAATAAACTAAAAACAAAATTGTGAGAAAAAAGTGAAAATTTGATGCAGAAAAATTGCACAAAAAATGAAAAACAACAACAAAATCAATTATGATCCTTTTGATCAAATGATTATTCTGCAAAAGGCCCATTTTATTTCAAGGTCGAGCCAACTTCCGTCGAAGAAGACGCATTGCAGTGTTAAATATTTATTAGATAGAAATATTTGACTTAATAAACAGGAAACGAGCCAAGTCTTTAGATCAATAACCTGAAGATCATTTTTATTATCATCAATAATCAAGTGGAATCGTATTCAGATAGATCGATAAAATTTTTTTCACAAATATGAAAAAAAAATTTTAACTAATCAGAAAAGTGAAATCCAAGCCATAAAAATATAAACTATTAAATCAATAGGAAAAAAATTAAAAAAAAACAATTAAAACAATTGATTTTTACGTGTGAAAAAAACGTTAATTTAAGTAAACATTTATAAATAGAAACAGCTGTTTAAAAAAAGTGATTTAAATAAAAATTCAAAAAAAAAAATTTAATAAAAATTTAAATTTAAATAAAAATTCAAAATAAAATTAAAAATAAAATTAAAAATTAAATGAAAATTTTAATAAAAACTTAAATAAAAACCTAATTTGAAAAAAGCTAATTAAAAAATATAAAAAAAAATTAATTAATCCACAGCAACAAGAGAAAAAAAAACAAAGTGTGAAAATTTAAATAAATAATAATTATGGAACTAAAGTTTATCGGAAAATAAATTTTTTCTTTTTTGATTTTTTTTCCCCTAAATAAGATGAAAAATCTGTGATAAGAATGCAGTGCTCAAAAATGAAGATAGAAAAAAATGTTAGTTTATTGATGAGTAGTCGACTTGGAAACGAGTCGTGTTTCAAGGAATCAATATCAGCCAGTAGAGCAGTGCGACAGAAGAAATTTTCCGTTTGACCACAAACATAAGGAACAGGGGAGTGAATATTAAAAAAAAAAATAAAAATAAAAAAACAATTATTTTTCAAGTGAAGAAAGTGGGAAAAAAAAGAAGAAATGTTGGTGTGTTGGGTACTGGCAGGTGTCCTTGGAGCAATTGTGCTCCTTTATGTCATTGTGGAAATTCACTATTTCCTCAGGATGTTAATTACCGTCTTCTTTGCACGATTTTGTCGTAAACGAGTTCACATTCTCGACGAAACTTCTGTTTATGGTAAGTATTAAAAAAAAAAGAGAAAAAAAACAAAAAACTGACATTCAATTTCAGCATGAGTTTGCAATTTTTAATGACAACTATTTTTACAAGATCATTATTTTATGGGTTGTCGCGCGCGCGTGTGTGTAAACAAAAGATCGTGGATAATTTCCGCGTTAAGAAAAAAAAAAAATTTTTTCTAGAAAAAATTATTGGGGTTTGGTTTATATTAATTTATTTTTAATTAAATTATTTTTTTTATTCGAATAGAATTGATTTGATACAAATAAAATTTATTTGCAAAAGAAAAAATTATTTGTAAATTAAAATTTGAAAATAAAAATTATTTGCAAATTAAAATTTGGAAATAGAAATTATTTGCAAATTAAAATTTGGAAATAAAAATTATCTGCAAATTAAAAATTGGAAATAAAAATTATTTACAAATAAAATTATCTTATCAAATAAATAATAAACAAATTATAATTAATTAATTCAAACTCGTTACTTTAAATTGTGTTTTGAAAATTGTACTTTAAATTGTTATTGTAATATATGTTAATTTTTTTAGATTTTAATCTGGAATTTCCCTTTATTCATTATGAAAATTTTTTTGAAAATATTGCAAAGAAAATATGTTTACGAATTTTTTTTTTAGGAAACAATTTTCAGAGAATCTTTATTATTTACATATGTATCATTTTTTTTTTTTTTTGCACAAAACTCGTACAGAGAAAAATATATTGATTCAATAATATTTTCGCTGAATGCATAAAATTTTTTTTTAGCATGTATACTATATTTTTAAAAAATTCTATAACATGTTTTTGAATCAATATTATTTTCTAGTTTCGATGAAAATGATTTAATTTTTTCTTATGTATAGAAATTCAAGAGGTGAATGGCAGCTATTGTTATTTATAAAAAGCTTATAGCCAAGTGTCACTGGTTTTAATTTAAGAGAAAAATCCATAACTTCGTCTAGCCACTTTTAAAATCTATAACAAGTTGAGCTCCCTGTACTTTTCTTTAATTCCGCTTTCAAATATTGGGAAAATTAAATTTTTTTTCTTTTGTTTCTATTTTTAATTTATTAACTTTTTCAGAAATAATTTTTTTTTATTTTTTTTTTATTTATTAACTATTACAAAATAAATTTTTCTTTTTAATTAATTATTATTTGCGTCAATTAAATGTCATTTTTTCAAATACTGAAATTATTGGTACAAATACACAATTTATTTAATTCAATTATTTGGTTTCAAAAATTATTTGGTTCAAATAAATATTTATTTGCTAATCGATTATTTGAACCAAATAATTTTTTTTTCAGTGTAAATTTTTAATTTTCAAATTATTTCACATTTTATATAAATTATTATTTGCTATTATTACTGATCATTAAAATTAACAATTTATTCTTAGAATTAACCTATGTTAATTTGTTAATATATAATTATGATAATGCATTCAGTCTTGACCAGAAACAAGATTAGTCATATATTCATTTGAAAAAATGATGCATTACAAAGTTGTTGCAATTGCTGATAAGAATAAAAAAAAAAATTTTTAATGTTACTATATGAAGCTCGAATAAATAAAAAATTTCTCTCGGTGGAGAAAGAGACAGATGAATTATTCGCAAAGTTAAAAAAAAATCAGTCAATAATGAACTCATAGTTAAACTATTGTTTACCATCTCAAATATTCCACCTTGCTTTTTATACAGTTTTTTTTTTATAGAAAATTCTCTTTAGTTTTTTTTCTAAATCGTCTTCAGGAGTAATTTGAATTGTTATCAAAATTGTTTACTTAAAATGTAGAACAAAAATTATTTTAATATATTTTAAAATGTTAAAAAATTCCACAACAATGTAAGACGTAAAGAAAAAGATAATAAAAAATTATTTTAAAATGTAAAAAATTCTTTAAAAAAAAAAATAATATAATTTAACTAAGAATTATTAACAATGACAAATTTTTATTTTTATTAATTAAAAAATTTTAATTTGAAAAACGTTCTTAATAATTAACTAGCATTTAATCCATTTAAAAATTAATTAATTATCGTGAAACGAGAAATAAACAAACGACGTAAGAGATAAAATTACAGATCATCAATTTGATGGAACAAAGTAAGCATTAATAAATTGCAGATTCAATTAACTTTTTTTTTAAACTAATTTTTTATAATTAATTTTTTTTTATAATTATCAGTGTGTAATAATCAACAACTTTGTTTAAAGTTAGCAGCTGCTATAAACGAGATTTCAAAGCAAAAATTAAAAAAAAAAAATTTCTAGTAAATTGAAATAAAAAAAAAATAATAAATTTTAGAAATTTGTTTCTATCTTAAAATTCAATAATTATTGAGGGTCAAATACACGGAAGCCATATAATGTCATTTCCTCAACCTTGACCTACAGTTCTTGAATGAGCAGAGAAACTCATGTTACAAATCGCAAAAGATTATTGATTTCTGGTTAAGAAGTGTCCCAATTTTTTTCTCAGATTAATAACTTTATAATGCATTTGAAATTGATGATCGTAAAGTAAAAGAGAAAAATTTTAAGTAGAAATAATAAAAATTTTAAGGATAAATAATAAAAACTTAAAAGTAACGAATAAAAAGACAATAAAATTATATTATAAGTGAAAAAGAGATTTTAAAATGCTTTTAATAATTTTTTTTTTAGTGATTATTAATATGAATAAAAAAAATTTTTTTACAGGTATTTGCACCACAACAGACGTGGATACTCTTTTGTACCACATGAATAATGCCAGATATTTAAGAGAACTGGATTTTGCACGAGCTGATTTTTATGAAAGGACAAATTTATATCGAGAAATTTGTTCTCAAGGGTCAGGACTCGTACAAGGAGCTGCCACTATACGTTATCGGAGATTTTTAAAAGTCTTCTGTTTTTATAAAATAACGTCCAAGGTACAGTTTTTTTTTTCATAAAAATTAAATTGAAAAACACTTTTTTTTTAAATTAGTATTTACTTTATCGATTTAATTTACTTTTTTCTAATTATTAATTTATTCATATAATAATAATATAATTATATTAATAATATTTTATTAATATATTAATAATATTATTATATTAATACTTTTATTAATTATTATTTAATTTTTTTAATTATTTCAATTTTAATTTAATAATTTAATTACTTTAATTTAATAAAATTTACATCATAATTTTATTTTTTTTAATTTATTTTATCATTTCCTTGAAGATTATTCTTTCCGTTAAAAATAATTTAATTCTTATATGTTGCATTTATTATTTAATATAATTTTCATTATCATTTACAAGACATGGATTACTAACACAATTTCCAAATATATTGTTTATCAGGAAAAGACAAACCTTAATTTCATATTTCCTTTCAAGGAATCTTTAATCTTTGAACTGTAATGAGTAAAAAAAAAGAACTGACGTTTGTAGTATCCTGTAAAACAAGCTCGCGTTCATAACATAATTATTTTTTATTTTAACAAAATTTCAACAAAAAAATAATTATAAATTAATGAGTTTATTCATACAAGAATAAAATAATAATTTATTATTAAAATTCTAAAATAATTAATTGAAAAAAAATCTCTTTTTCTACTGAAATTTATCATGTAACATTTATAATTTGATCTTTATAAAAAAAAATTGATCTTGATTAATTTTGTCTCAATATTGTAATATAAAATAAAAAATTAAAAATACATTGTTGGGAAAAAAATTTGTCTTCAATGAAGTATTAATTTTTAGAAGTTTTTATATTTTTAAAAAATATTCTTTAATATTTATTTTTTTAATTTAATAAATTTTATAAATTAAAAATGTCCCGTCAAATTAATAAATGAAAAACGAAAAAAAAAATAAATTATTTAATATTTATTTTTTTTAATATAATAAATATTAAATAATAAAACAATGAAAATAAATTATTATTATTTTTAAATAATAAAATACAATATAAGGTTATTAATTTTAACACCCTAATTATTGGTGCGTGTTTAGAAATATTCATATAAAACTGGTTAACCCACTATTATCGAAACTTCAATAACTGTTATGAACTCAATCAGCAATCCATTATTTCATAATAATCAGTCATTTTTTCTAACAGGTCAATAAAGTGTATTAAGTAGAACAGTTGTTTATCATTTTTATACTTATTGATTTAAAAGAAATTTTATTCAATATGCGCTTCATTTTTATCCTCAATAAAATTTTTTCAATTTTTTAAAATTCCAAAATAAATTCTTTATTATTTAAATAAATAAATAAAAAAATATTTCTATTGCTAACAAAAATTGTATTACAATGATTTTAAAAATTAAAGCAATGTATATACAAGGCGATTTTTATATTCTGGACCCCCTAAAAAATTTTTTTAATTCTATTATTTATGTTTAAAAAAAACGGAAAAAAATAAGGATAAAAAATTTTTTTGGATCCGGAACATAAAAATCATATACAAAAATTTTGAAATTTGTTTGTTTTGAAATTAATAAATCTTTTTCGAATTGAAAATAATTTTTTTTTGACTTAGTATAAAATTTTCTATATGATTTAGAGGAATTTTCAAATTTTCCCTTTGAAATATTTTCTTATTTGACTCGAAATAATTCAAATTTTTCTCGATTCAAAAATTGTTTTTCTAATTAAAAAAATTTTCTATACAAATAAATATTTTTTTCTAGATTGTATATTGGGACGAAAAGACAATTTTCATGGAACATCGATTTATAACACCAAGTGACGGTTTTGTTCGAGCCATAGCAATTTGTCGTCAACGATTATTGGACTGCAATGCTGAGGCAATTGTTGGTGCTCTTATCAATAAGGGAGTAAAACAAAATGGAAATGTTGAAGCTGGTATCACACAGGTGAAAAAAAAATTTTTTTCTCATTTTTTTTTCAAATTATTTTTTATAAATAACTAAATATCGAAAAATCAATCGACAGATTGAAATTATAATGAAAAAAACAAAAAATGAAAATTACAGATTGCCAACGTGAGACCAGAAATCCCACCGGAAGTGGCAAGATGGATTGAAAGTAATGAAATATCTTCAGCGGCGTTAAGAAAGACACCAGCTGTAATTTCAAATTGCTGACAAAGGGATGACGCCATCGCAAATGGCGTAGAATCATCACAATTTCATGAAACTACCATGGTCTAATTTTTATATACACCTGGTTCATTGCACCGTATATTCCGCATTATAAAGTACCTGATATTGTTTTTTTTTTTATTATAATTATTTTTTTTCTGAAAAATTGCGATCCTACAAAGTGATAGCCTCGATTTTATATTCATAAGTGAAGTGTGTTGTGCTACCTTGAAAATCACAAGTGACGAAAAAAAAAACTAGTTGCGTTGTATTGAATGACTGCACCTAATTAAGAAACATATAATTATTATTTAACTCCACAAAATTCAGTGGGGAATCTAATTAACCGGACAATATATACATAAAACCCCCCCCCAAAAGTGTTCCTTGAGGACCTAATTAAGATTCGCTTCATGAATCTCTTATTTTAGGTACTCTTATCTAGTCTCTGAAATTTTTTCGAAATTGCTTTTTCAATTAATAAATAAATTTTCTAATTAATAGCCTAATAATAAAAATTATTTTTTAATTAATAGCCTAATAATGAAAATTATTTGAAATTAATTAATTTTATAAAATTGACGATTCAAATAATGGAAAATTAATAATTAATCAACTGTAAAATTATTATTTGTAAAAAAAATTAATTATTGATATCAAATCACTTTATTAGTTAAACTAATAATCAATTTATAAATTATTTTAACGAATTTCATATAAGCATCGATAAATCAATTTGTTAAATAAGGGATTAGAGAAAAAATTTATTAAAATTGTTTTAATCGAAAACTAATTAATAATATTACACTCAGAGAAAAAATCTATTTGTCTCAGAGTGAAATAAATATTTTTTTGTTTAATAACACTTTATTTGAGTTAAATAAAAATTGTATTTGCGCTAAATAAAATTTTTGTGCTAAATAAATTTTTTTTATTTTAAACAAATAAAAAGTTATTATGAAGCAAATATATATTTTTTCAAATATATTTTGTCTCAAATAAACGTAGAAAAAAAATTTCTCTGGATGTAAAAAAATGAAAGTAACGAACTTTTTGTAATAATTATTAATGTTCCCAAAGTTCTGAACGAAAAATTTGTTTACTACTTTTTTAACTTCAAAATTAAATAATAAAATAATTGGTTCCAGTATTTAAAAATCAATTAATAATTTAATGTTTTTTTTTTATTTTTTATTGTTGTAGTAATTTTTAAATAATTTTTAGACCCAAAAAAAAATAATTTCGTTTATTTGAACGTTCAGAATTTCAGGCACATAATTATAATATTTTTGTTCATCAATTGAAAAATAAATTAAACATTTTGAGAAAAATGTCCAAAAACAAAAAGCCATTAAAATAAATAAACAAATAAAATGTAATTTAAAAAAAAAAAATTTCAGAGAATTATCAAAAGTGACACCAATATCTCGATTTTTTGTCACTATTGCGTTCGAATTTGAATTCGCGGTATACAGTATATAATGCGATGACGAATCAAGGTCGAGCATTAATCAGCCAAAGATTAAGTGTGTCTTATATTATAAGTAGAATTAAAGAAAAAAAAAATTATTAACAAAAAAAAAAATTTTCTTCTAAAACAATCATTGATTTTTAACGGATTTTCCTACAGCGGATTCGTCTAAAAATAATTTTTTTTTTAAGAGCGCCATTTTTGTGATTATAATTTATTATCGAGATCGATTCACTGACTTTATTGAGCCGCGGAAACTCACTCGGAGTCAAAGGAATATTTTATAAAACTATAATGACGTAGTTATGTGTATATATCAAGGTTTTCAAAGGAGTCTGCACATTGTGCAATCACCTTTTTAATCATAATATATATACACCACGTCTTTGTGCACATTATAAAAGGCAAAAATTAACATTTTTTTTCGATTGTGATATTTAGCGAGTGTATTCTTCCTATATAAAAAAAATAATTAATTACTGTAATTAAAAATGACGAATAAAAAAAAAAAACCTAAGTCTTCGATCACGTCCAAAAAAAGCAGAGAAAATTGCAAAAAAAAAAAAAATATTTATAAAAATAAGAACCTAGCGAAATGGTGGAAAATCTATTTTCATGTAACGAAAAAAAATCCATAGTAAAAGATTATTAAATTATCATTTTTAGGAAAAAGTTTTACACATTTTTAGCTAATTTAAAAATCAAATTTACTTAGATTACAGTCGATAATTTATAAAAATTGTAAATAATTTTTTGAATGTAGAAAAAATTTATTTGGGTTAATGAATGAGTCAAATATTTATTACAATTTTGATTCTACTACACGGAGAAATTTTTTTTTTATCTAAAACAGAGATATCTTTCTCTAGAATAACGAAAACTTTCGCTGTTTTAGTGAAACATATAGTTGTTCCATGTAAAACAAATTTGCCCGTATTAAATTGTTCTTAATTAGAAAATTAAATGAGTATTAAAATAATTAATTTCTTTTTTTGACATTCGAAATGATAAAATAAATCAGTAAAGAAAAAATTATATTCAAAATAATCAATGTTTAAAAAAAATTGCTTATATATATTTTGCAAAATAATGCCGGAAGTGCTCAGGTATAATCTTAGAAATAAGCAATCGAATAAGTAGATACTACATTAATTAGAAAAAAATTACATGTCAAAAAAAAAACCTTCTGTTGATATTATTTTAATTTTTTTTCTCTCTATCTCTTTCTCTCTTTCAATAATGTTATATATATGTAAATTTTTATTTATTTTTCACTGTACAATATTGTAAATATTTCCCTATTACTTCGTTATTACTATATTATTAGAATAATTGTACTTATAAACCAGAAACTGATATTTTTGTCAGAAAATATATTTAAAAAGGCGATTTTATTGCACATATTAAAAAAAATTCTATATTTTAAGAGCAAAAGTTGCCTTTAAAAATTAAATAAATAAAAACATTTTTGTGGCTTGTACGGAATATATTTAATAGGCATTTTTTCAATTTTCAACTGCAATGAGAGTGAAAATGTGTGTGTCTTTTTGTAAATCAAATATTCCTCCAAAAAATAATTTTCACAATTTTTTTCCTCAAAAAAAAAAAAAAAAAATTAACACTTAAGTGTTAAAATAAATAAATAAATAAAATGTAATAAAATTCTGTACGTCCAATAGTGATATATATATATTTATAAGTTTTCATGAGAAAAAAAAGGTGTTTGTTATTTAAGTATTATAAAAATATTTCCATTGTGTGTGGGAATTTTTATTGAGAAATATATATATTATTAATATTGTCAATGAAATATTTCTTGGATTTAAAATAATAAATTTTTTGTTTTTGAGGAATTTTCATTTGAATTAACTTTTCCTTTGATAAAGAAAAAATAAACATTGTTTCATGATTGAAAAGAGTTTTGTTTTCGTTTACTTAAATTTTTTAAATTTCTTAGAATAGAAATACAAATTTGTTTAATTTAAAAAAAAAAGTTTTCTTTGACTCGAAACAAATTTTAATTGATTTAAACAAAATTTTTCTATTATTTAAAGGAATTTTCTCGAAATTAATGTGCCGGAATATTCAAACAATTTTTTTCTGAATTAAACTGAAAAAAATTTATTTGATTCAAATAATCGGTTACTTGACTATATTATCAAATAAATATTTAGTAGAACTAAAGAAATATTTATTTGAACCAAATAATTTTTTTTTAAATTTCTTTGATAATAATAATTAAATAATAATTCAAACAAATAATTTCTTTGGAAACAAATACAATTTATTTAATTCAAAAAATAATTATTTGATTCAAGTAAATATTTATTTGGTTCAAGTAAATAGTTATAAATAATCAAGAAACCGATTATTTGAATGAAATAAATGTTTTATAGTGCCCCATAGGAACACCATCATTTTCGTTCCTGGTCGAAATAAATCAATTCAGATTGATTCCAGAATAATATTCAAATAAATAATAAAACTTTGCTTTTTAAAAAAATTAAAAAAAAATTATATTAAATATTTAAAATAATTAAATATTTTTTCCTCAATTAGTAAAAAAAAACGCAATTATGAATAATGCCAATAAAACAGATTCCTGTATTATTAAAAAATTATTTTTTTCAAATTTCTATTTAATTTTCGCGTAGACAATAAGAATATCAAAATTAATATCCAGTGTGTTTTAATTTTAAAAAAAATATTTATTTATTCCGTATTAAAAATGTATTTAAAATTGAGCCTACACGACCTCAACTGAGCAGATGATTCGACATTCCTGACTGTACAACTTTCAGTCTGTTTCAGTCAGTTAGTGACCATTGTGCGTGGAACATCATTCTTTTTTTTTTTTACTTATCTACAATACAAAAATTTTTGTACACAAATAATATTTCAATCATGTTATGTTATTGTACTGTCGCGGCGATAGCAATTTTATATGTACTTTTTGATGTAAATTATTTTATTAGAATTATTTTAACTATAGCATGGGGACGAGTTTTTCAAAATAGAAAGAAGATTCTTGAGCAAACCACAATTTACGGTGAGCATTTTTATAAACCGGTGAACGAAAACGGGACTTGTGTATTTAAAACTTTGCTTGAATATACATATTTCACTTTAGACATGTTTCTTTTTATCTTTGAATTATTTCACTTTCCAGTTTTTTTACTTTTCAATTTTTTTATTTTTCAGTTTTTTTTACTTTTCAATTATACTTTTTATTTTTACAAGAAAAAATATTTTTTATTTATAAAAGTACTGTTAATTATTAATATTTATATAACCTCATGTAAAAAGATAATAATTATCTATGTTACATTATTATAATAAAATAAAATAAAATTATTAATATTTATTAATAATAAAAATAATAAAATTTATTAATAATAATAATTATTTATTATTTATAATAATTATAACTATATAATCAAAATGATAGTTATAATAATAATTATTATTATTAATTATTAGGTATTATTATTATTATTATTATTATTATTAAATAAAAATATTATAATATTATTATTGTTTATTACTGCCAATGTTTAATATTTTCATGAATATATAATGCAACATCTTTTTTTTGAAGTATTTTTTTTTTTTTGCTAAAACCAAATGAGAATTTTCTTGCTATTTACCTTTTAAATATTTTACATTGTAATTGCAGTTGAAAAATATAGTGACTTTTTCTAAGGATAAGGAAAAAACCTCTAACGTATAATTTCTAAAAAGTTGTTATAAAAAAAAAGAGAAAACCCCAATACTGTCTTTTAAAAAACGAGTTTATGTTTAAAAAAAAATTCGAATTAAAATTACATTATGCACATTAAAATTATTTCCATATTTTAGCAATTCAAGGAACAAGATTTTCTAGGGTCAAAGAATCTTTAATTAGTTATCGCATCGGAAAGCGTTTTTTTTTTTAATGATTTTGTCGTTTTACTTTTTTAAAGTTTGTATTGAGAATAAATAATGTTTTTGGTAGAAATATATAAAATAGTTTATAAAATATAATAATAGTAATAATAAAAACAAATGTAATAATAATAATAATAATTATATGATTTATTAATTTTTAAAAACTCTCGAATTATTTATTATTTTTTTTTACTTTTTTCAAGCAACATTTCTGTCACTGATTCAAAAAAGAAATAGTTTTTAATAAAAATTAAAAGAAAGTAAATTGCTTTTACTGCGTTTTTTCTATAATAAATTTTTTATATTTTTTAGGTGTGTGCTTTACTCAAGATATAGATTTAGTTTTTAAACATATGAATAACGCGAGATATCTTCGTGAATTGGATTTTGCACGATTTCATTATTATGATCGAACTGGATTATTTTCTGCAATTAGTGCAAAAGGAGGTGGTATGGTACAAGGTGCATGTACATCAAGATATCGAAGACCACTTCCAATTTTTACACCTTACAAAATTACTACTCAGGTAATAATGCATTTTCAAAAATTTAAATATTTTTTCATCAAAGTAAAATTTTATGTTTTAAAAACACAAAAATTATATTAAAAAAATAAATTGAAAATTATATAGGTATTAAAAAATATATATTAAAAAAAAATATTTAAAAAAGTATTTTAAAAAATATTTTAAGAAATATTCAAAAATAGTTTTAAAATGAAACTCAAATTTATGTAAAAAGAAAAAACTGTTCAAATTTAATTAGAATTTTTTCAGTCTCGCCAATAAAAGTCATTTTCCACTTATTTGCAAGACAAATGACATACATTGTTTTAGCAAATAAATTAAAACACTAATTTTTAATCTTGTAGAATATTTTTTTACATTAGAGATAATTTTGATATATTTGCAGAGAAAAAAAAATATCTTATTAAAATTTTTATATCTAATTTCAGCTTGTCTATTGGGATGATAAAAATTTCTATTTGGAGCACGAGCTAATAAGTTTATCGGATAATTTTATTCGAGCTGTGATTTTAAGTAAACAAAGTGTAACAAATTTAAAGGTTCCTGTATCGGAAATTGTGGCAAAAGTTGATCCCACTGCACAAAAACCAGAATTATCCAAGGAATTACAATTATGGCTCGATTCAATGACAGAGTCATCGGAAAAATTGAAAAAGAAGAAGTAAAATTCAATATTTAAAAAAAAAATTGTTTTTTTTTTTGAAAAACTTCAAAAGGGCTCTAAAAACTTACATCTTAAGATCTCAATTTTTTTGTTGTTGATTTTCTACTGTGTTAAAACTTATTTATTTTCTTATTTATACTTTTATTTGTTATAAATTATAAATCTTGCCAAAATATCGCAAAAAAAATAAAATATAAAAAATAGAAACAAACTGACAACTTATTTCGTGCATTTAATTATAATTTTAAATTACAATGAGCGATTTTTATTCTTAATAAATTTAATAAATAAATGTAATAAATAAATTTAATAAAAAATATAATAAAAAAATATAATAAAAAATTATAACAAAAAATACAATAAAAAAACACAAATAAATATAATGAATAAACACAAAAAAAATATAAGAAATATACTTAATAAATTAATGAAAAAAATAAAAAAAATGATAAAAAAAAATTAAAAATTTGTTGAAATAAGAACTAAAAAAAATAGTGAATGAAATTATAAATTAATAATTGAAAAAATTGACAAAATTATAATATTTTTTATAAATTATCGTCGGTAAGTAAAAAAAAAAGGATTGAGCTATAAAAATATCGTGTAAGTGTAACAGATGGCGCTAGAATGTCCTCTTTATTTTTCTCTTTTTCGTTGAGCGGTAGATTCTAAAGTTTCAAACTTGTTATAAGATTCAGTCGCGAGCAACTCTACTTTCTATGAGCCTTGTTAACTGTTCAGAAGGAAGGAGCTCTTGACAGCTCTTTCAAGGAGTGCACGGTGATTTTTCAAATTGGTAAGTGCATATAAAAAAAATCCACTTTATTTCATCTCTAATTATCCTAATCCGTCATTAATTTTTAATTTCCCTCATTACTATAAATACAAGAACCATAATAATTTTTTTTATTCCTCTTATTTAATTTTTCTAACTCTCAAAAAATCCACAAAAATTAATTTCATTGTAACTTAAAATCATTTTTGTCAATACAAGTAATTTTTAATTTCAAGAACTACAATTTTTTTAAACGGATTAAAATTTTTTTTTTTTAAATTTGTATAAATCTTTTTTTGTATTACATAACTTGTTTTTGCGTGGACACGATTTAATGTTAATTGTTATTTTTTTTTTTGTCAATTTTCCATTATAGGAAATCTATAATCATAATAGATAATTATGCAAATTTTTTTGTGCACTATAACATTTATATTTTATTAGCAAGCAATTTATAATCCGTGTTTATATATGAATAATGTTCTGTCATCCCAAACGCTAAATCTTTGTTCATTTATTATTTCTGCAATGAGATCAAATTACCAAGGCAGTCGTTAGTTTTTAAAAATTACTCACATTTTTTTTTTTTTATCAATCGCGTAAATGATTTGAATTTTTTATCAAAAGTTATTGTATCTTGTTATTTTATTCCAAACTCTAACTAAATTTTTTGAAATTATTTTCTTTTTATTATTATTATTACAAATATATTTTTTTAATTATAAAAATTCATACAAAAGAGCTATGAATAATAATTATAATTATTATTTTTAATATTAAATTTTTTTTTCAAAAAATAATGTATGATTAGTATTTTTAAATTGTGATTAATTTCTATTTGTCAAATATTTATAAGTTTCGATTATTTTCATAAAAAAAAAAAAAAAACTTGGTCGATTTAGCTGTTAAGAGCAAGATAATTTTTGATAGGGGCATAATAGATTTACCTTATTTGCCGACGAGATTTCATTAGCCTTGACGAGTTAATTTAGATGCCGACGGAAAGGATTAATTCGTCGACAGCAAATAGCCGTAACCTGGCGGCCAAAATCATTACCATCACTTTACACTTGGTAAACAATTGCTTGTTTACACCATTTGATTTTTATGTCGTCAGTGACAAAGTGTTAAAAAATTATCAATCTCTTACCTGTAACAAAAAAAAAATAATTTTAATTAAAATTTAACACAAATTAATTTAACACAAATTTTAATTTTAATAATTAAATAAATTAAATAAACAATTTTTATCAACTACTTGTACTAATAAAAATAATTTCTTTATTTTTAGAATCGTAATTAATTGTATTAATTTATTAATTAAAAAAAAAATGTATTATCTTCAAACAATTTTTTTTTCTATAACAAAAAATTCCGGTAAAATTTTCTATGCAAATAGAGTTCGTGGGATTTGAATAGAATGTAGCGATAAAATGGAGAAAGGATTCTGTATATTGAGACGATACGTCGTGTGAAAAGATAAATTCTGAGAAACTTTTGGTCCGATGAGCATCAAAGCGCGTATTACGATGACAGGTTTCAAATTGAATGAGAATACGGCATCTTCACTCTTTTAAATCAAATTCCTCCGACAAATCAAACGTAACATTTTAATTAACGTTCTCCAATTTCTGCTCTTAAAATTATAATTATTCTCAATCTTAAAAAATTCAGGTTATTTTTTATTTTTTTTCCACAAATTTGCTATTTAGCAAAAATTTGCCAAAAAAAAATTCTTTTTTATTACACTGAAAAAAAAATTTATTTGGATCAAATAAAAAGTATTTGATCCAAATACATCATTTACTTGTCTATTATCCAATAAATATGTATTTAAACCAAATACACATTTACTAAATCTAAGTATTTTATTTTATCGTATCAAATAAATAGTTATTTGAATCAAATACAAAATATTCAAATCAAATAAATGGAATATTCAAAGCTAATAAATTATTATTTGAATCAATTATGAAAATTATTTCTTTCAAATAAATAGTTATTTAAATCAAATACAAAATATTCAAATCAAATAAATGGAATATTCAAAGCTAATAAATAATTATTTGAATCAATTATGAAAATTATTTCATTCAATACTGCATGTTTTTTGATTCAAATAAATATTTATTTGCATTAATAAAATATTTTTCTTGAAACAACTAAAAATTTTCTTGAATCAAATATTCGATTATTTGTCATAAGTAATTGTTTTAATTGAAACTAAAACCTCTTTAATTGCGGCAATTATTATTTTATTTGATCCAAATACATAATTTATTTGCATAAAATGTAAGAATTTTTTGATTTAAATAAATCAAAATTTGAATTGAATAAATAACATATTACAATATTAAATAATATATATGAATAAATGAATAGTATCAAATAAGTCATTATTATCATTACACTTAAATATTTAATTGATCAAAATATTTTATTTTCCTTTAATAAAATAGTATATTAACATTAAATAACACATTATTTATATTAAATAATTTAATTAATTAGAATTAATAAAGTTATTGTATAAAATACTTTTTATTTGTATGAAAAAAATGAAATATTTGAGTGAAATAAATTAATTAATAGTTGCAAGTAACTCATTATTTTCGTTTCAAATAAACATTTAATTGATTAAAATATTTTTTTATTTGTCTTGATAAAATAGTGTATTAGTATCAAATAATTTAGTTGACTTGAATCAGTTAAATAAAGTTATTATATCAAATACTTTTTATTTGTTTCAATAAAACGAAATGTCTGAGTGAAATAAATAAATAAATTGTTTCAAGTAAATCATTATTATCGTTTCAAATAAATATTTAATTGATTGAAATATTTTTTTATTTGTCTTGATAAAATAGTGTATTAGGATTAAATAACGAATTATTTGTATTAAATAAATTCATTTATTCAATTCAATTAATTATTTAATTGAACCAAATACGATGTATTTGGTTCAAATAAATGCGATTCAAATAATTCAAGTTATTTGAATCAAATACATATTTTTTTGATCCACATAAAAAGTATTTGAACCAATTAAATATTTTTCAAATAATTTGAATCAAATAAATTTTCTTTTTAGTGTATTAAAACATAATGAAATTATAAAAATAAAAAATCGAAAAAAATGTTCAAAAAATTTTCAAATTTTTTGATTATATTATACGGCGTGGGTGCATTGTGTTTGTTGCGCAAAACGATTGACCGGAATACAAATTGCATAATGATGATAATGAATGAATCTCATAAAAGTCATTGTAAATTTAGATCACCCAGATGAGAGACCTGCATCTTTATAATTTCGCGCAGCTTCCATAAGATTTATGATCTCGGTGAAATGTTAGAAAATCAGTTACAATATATAAATGTGAAATTCCATATAAAATCCGGAAGTGTATAAATATATATATTCAATATTTTACGAGTTGTAAAAAAATTCCTACACCCGGAAAACTAGAATTTAGCTACTAAAAATTATATTATTAAATTATCTCTTATATTTCTAATAAAGATAATAATTTTTATATCAACAAACTTCGTGTAAATATTTAAATATTAATATAATATTCCTATAAATATGCAAAAAAAAAATATATATTTCCTTAATTATGACAACGAATCACTTAAATGTTTCTAGAAAGTTTTTGACCTTTGCGCGGAGTTTTCACTGCCACAATTTTGCACACTAAATGCAAAAATAATGTAATTCGTGATTAGAAGGTTGGAGGGCAAAACTCAGCTCGCGCAAAAGGTGGAAGAAATTGACCGTAGAATATATATGTTTCACGTATACTCTCTTTTTTTCTCTCTCTCTCTCTCTTTTTATCCTTTCTCTTTCAAGTAGTATAAATAATAAATCCTTACTTTCATGTTTTATCTCAGTGATTTTTATTAGTTATTTTATTCATCTTTACGAAAAAATATAGTATACGGAAGAAAGTATATTTGAAAAATTAATCCCATCAATATTTTTTTTTTAGTTTCAAATTCAATAAACGTGTAAAAATCTAGAAAATTCACTCAAACGGAACATATAATAAAAGATTGTAAAATAACTTTCATTTTTTATCCTTCATTGCTTGCATTTGTACATAAATTGTTTATAGAAGGAGAAAAAAAAATATTCTGAAAACAAAATTTTACTACAAAGAAAGAATAAATTTCTTTAAAAAAATTTATTTCATTTAAATGTATATTTATTTAGACTTAATAATTTTTACTTGAACCAAATAATTTTTAACCTGAACTGAATAATTTTCACTAGAACCAAATAATTCTTAACTAGAATCGAATAATTTTTGCTAGAACCAAATAATTTTTTACTAAAACCAAATACTTTTTTTACTAGAACCGAATAAGTATTGCTAGAACCAAATAATTTTTTACTATAACCAAATAAGTTTTTACTAGAATCAAAGAATTTTTCA